AATTACAGCAAAGGCATGCAACAATTAATTCCCTCTTGACAATCTGAATATAATCTGAAAATAATCCAACTTGTATAAGTCTGTCTGTAGCAATGTGGATGTGAACACAGAGGGATTTGGGGATATGAGGTAAAAGAAAAAAAAGCAAGCTGCTCATTGCTGTGACCAGGGTGTTTTCACTCAGCACTGCTGGAGCTGCATCACAGCTGTTAGTTGTTCAGTGTTTGTCTTTGTAGAAGGGAGTGATCTTTGCTAATCACAAGAGCAGGAGAGCTTTCTATATTGATCCACACACAAATGGAAGTGTCCTAGGCCACTATAGGCTGCTTAACCACAAGTCGGTACTGGGATCCATGTATGTGCGTGTGTGTGTGTGTGTTTTGGGGGGGTTATATGACCTTAAGAGTAGATCTGCTGCATCTGCGAGTTTGTGCATGTGTGCCTGTACAGTATCTGAATATTGTCTGTGAAAATGTGTGTGTATGTGAGAGTGTGTGTGCATCAAAGTCAAAACATGGGGGGGTCTGGTGGCGATCAATACTAATGATATATTAATGCTTTCAGTGCCAGCTCATCATTCACCACCAAATCTCTTTCTGCTGAGCACTTAGAGAAGTGTGTGTGTGTGTGTGTGTGTGTGTGTGTGTGTGTGTGTGTGTGTGTGGGTGGCGTTAAAAGGCACATTTCTTCTTGATCTATTGCTTCTCCATCCATCACTGTGATAGGTACCTCCTGACCCTGAATGACTGAAATATCACTGCTTTTGGATGAATAATGTTGGAGCTGCCAAAATGACAAGGCTTGTGTGAGGCTCAGTGTTTTTCTCCTGAGCTTTATGCAATGAAATCTACTCAACCCAGTAAAACTACAATTCAAGAGAAATTTAAGTTGGAGAGACATGATTTTTCCTAAGAAATGTAATAGTACTGATCACATGGCAATAGTCATCATCATCATCATCATCATCATCAACCTTTAAAACTTTTGACCTTCTGATGAACAGAAGTTACCGTAACTTTGCATCTGAAGTATAAACAGACAGAATGGAGGGAGAACTAAAACAGCAGATAACTACAGAAAGACAAAAGGAAAGGTGGAGTTCAGACCACAGAAATGCAGAGGCTGATTCTACACAGCTGTTCAGCAACGTTCATCGGTCACACCCAAAGAGCTCAGAGCAGACCTACACGGCCCCACTGTGACTGCTGTGTCTACCAATCTAAACTCTACAATTTGGTTCCTACAGATACTGTTACGAAATAAGCTTTTGCAAAGATTTTTCTAATCATCTGCAAAACAACAGGAGCATTTTTGTCCCAATCCTAGTCAAACAGGGGGTTTACT